CTTCTCTCTCTCTCTCTCTCTCTCTCTAATCATTGCGTATGGAGTTGCGATAGCCAATCACGAGTCTGTGCGAGAGAGGAGTATGGTACCCAAACCACCTCTTTCTCTCTCTATCACTCGCCGTAAACGTGCTTTTCCATGTATTGTTCTAATGCTCTACTCACTTATTTTGGAATTGGAACATGAACTCATGAGCATAGAAAACTTATACTATAATTTTTAATTTTCTATGGTTGAAAATGTTGGATTTGTTTTGTTCTTATTTATTGTTGATATTGATGTAGGTTATGTTATATTTTTGAATATCTCCACAGTTAAAAATAAGAACATACATTTAAAATGTCTTACGACAGCATTCAGTATAATCGATTCTATTACAATAATTTATGTCATGTCTGCAAAGAGTCCAACCAAAATTTGAAAAGATGCTCTGTGTGTAAGACAGTAGCTTATTGTTCAAGAGACCATCAGAAACAAGACTGGAAATTTCATAAAGATTTATGCAAGGCAATAGCCAAGGTAGATGAAATTTTGAAATATTCCACCATAAGCACCTTTGAAGATTTTAGAAAATATAATGTGTCCAAAAGCATACTGTGGCATAAAGAATTATGCAGGAAGCTTGACGATTTTGAATGTCAAATGTGGATGTTTCCTAGAGTCTGTGCTAAATGTTTTTCCAGAAAGGTTATTATTGATTGTCCCAACTGCCTCAATGTGTCATATTGTTCAGAACAACATAAGAATGACCATGAAAAACAGCATTCTGAATTTTGTGGTGCTCTAAAATTGTGCATGGATATAGATTTATATAACTTCCATGAAAAATACAGTACTCCTAAGATCGCAGTACATGATTTTGAACCTGAAGTTAATATATTACCAAATAATCTTCAAGAACTGATGCGAATGTATGAGAAGTGCAGTGTACCAAAAGAAAACAACTCGAAGAAATTTATAAAATTTATAATTAGATCAAATGTCATAGCTCCTGCGGCTACTATTCTCTATGGAATGGAAGAGTCCGGGCTCTTAACAAATCGTTTTTTGAACAAACCAGATTTAACTGTGCATATTGTGGGGGCTGCACTCACAGAAATGGCTTGGTTTTGGAAACTAATAACGGAACTCCCTTTTCATTGGATAAAGGATCTGAAAAGTTTGAACTTTTACGTCATAGGTCCAGAGATAAGACATGAAGGTGTTAGGAAAAAATTCACACAGCAACTCTGTGATAGTTGTAAAGCAAAAAATCCTTCGAGTAAGATTGTATTCTGCTGGAAACTTTACCATGAAGTAGCCGAATCTATAGATAAGCCAGACATTGTGGTGGTATTCAACAGCGGATTGCATGAATTCGGTGATAATCCGTGGGATCCTAGCATAGACTGTTTAACAATGTATTCGAATGTGCCACTTTTGTTAACGGCCTATACACTGAATGAAATCAAACAAGATATTTGTACATTGATATCGAAGAGTAGTCATAAAGTTAACGTTGTTTTGGAACCTCAAAAAAATCCATTCTCCAATATGACTCCGGTACGGGACTGGGAAACTGAAAATAGTCCAGTTTTTTATGTCAATGGATACCTTGCCATTCTCAAGGCAGAGTGAGGAGAAACGTTTTTTGGAGTACTTACATGTTATTCTGAATTAAAGATTAAATTTAAAAATCTTTCTATGGTTACTGACTTGCAAAATTACTATTAATCTAGTAGCACTGTAAATGACAAACATCTTGTAAAATGTTCGAAAAGCTAAACAAAATTTATTTAAATAATTTTGTATACAAATTATGTCGTTTCAGAATTTTTAATAATTTTTTGTTTTGTTTTATGTGAATTCAATTATTATTTCGTTTATTTAGATTTTGAGTTTTATTTTATGTTCTCTTAGAAAATATTTGTATTTTTTTAAAATAAAAATACACAAACTCGATTTGTTCAAATTGTTAGAATAGAAATAGAGCAAGCACTACGAAAGATTGATTTATTTAAATTAAAATTGGCAACATTGGTTGGAAACTAATTTGGTAAAAAAATTGTACATACATAATAGTCAATGTAGTGGACATTAAAAGTTAAGATTTATTTATTTTTTTGTAAGCATTTTTTAAATCGCGAGCATATGAGAATGTAAATATATATTTTTTGTAATACGTACAATCAGAGAACACTGTTCTCCGATATAAATTCAAACTTATAATTTTTTTCCACAGATGACCTAACTAAACTAATATTGAGTAATAATTAAAGACTATTGGTGCCATCTATCGTGTTATTTGTATTATGACGCAAGTGTATTTTTANATTTTTAAATATATCTCTGTTTATTCGCGTTCTTCTATGCGCATCTTACAATTCCCGCTCATCTGAATTTGCTGGTTTACATATTATGTCCTGTCTACATATACTTATATTTCGCATAAAATATCGTGGTAAGATACTTTGTTGTACTATTTATTGAATAACTATATTCTATGTACTATTATACTACTTTTTTTGTTCAACATACAATTTGCTTTCACTTTTAGAATATGTAGAACCGCTCCTTCAGATCTAGACACTGGTTTAGGTTTTTCGGTTCATTTTAGGTCGCATATGTGGTAGTACTTAATAAACAATAGGTACCGTTGAGTGTTGAGTGTACTCGTGACCAGTGGTGCCACCTATAATTTCATATATATTATACAAGTACATTTTTAAATTTTAATGCAAAAAATATATTCCCATGCTCGGAAATGTTTTTTTAACAAAATAATGTTTCCAATATCTGAGGAGTCACATAAGCATTTTTATATTCTTATCTATAATAAATATAAATTCAATCTTATAAGTTTCGTACAATAAGAACTATGTATATTTAAATTTCTTAGCAAAAAATATAATACATTGCCTGACAATGTTTTTTTGGGTACAAAATGTTTCCAATGTCTAGAAAAACACAAACACATTTTTATATTTATACCTATGTAGTTATCTAATACGAAAATAAATTTCAGCTTATCGGTTTCTTCCACAGATGACGGCACTAGTCCTTCGTAAACATAAATATAAATAAAGCACTAATGGCGCTAACTATCGTTTTATTTGTATTGAACTTATGCGTTTTCTCCACAGATGACAGCACTAAGTAGTACTTGATAAACAATAGGTACCATTGAGTGTTGAGTGAACTCGTGACCAGTGGTGCCATCTATAATTTCATTTATATTATACGAGTACATTTCTAAATTTTGATGCAAAAATAATACCTTCCCATGCTTGGAAATGTTTTTTGGCATAAAATAGTTTTTCCAGTGTCTAGGAAAACACTTCAGAGCATTTTTATATGGTTAGTTATCTGATACGAACTATGCCTCTTTTTCGTATTCAATTTTAAAATATATCAGCCTTCGTTTGCTCTGCCTAATGTGTCTTTCTACCATTCTACCATTTTTCTCGTATTTATGTAGGTCAAAACAGCGGTAATGTTTGTTTCATTACCAATATTTATAATAGAAATTAATTTTCAAGTGGTTTACCTATTGGCAGGTTAACGAGAAAAAAACTTGAAGTCCTTACGAAGCGTTAACTGTAATAACTATTGCAATGTAATAAGCATTTTCTATTACCTTCGATGCGTTGTGGACATCGATGTCCTTATTCTTTGACAGAAAATCGAATGCCGTGCCGTAAAACCTTGCCATCCCAGAATGGAGAAGATGAAAAAAATATTTTATAATTGTTTAAAAGAATTCGTATTTGTATAAGGAACGTGAAAGTTGTTCCTTTTTCAAAACAAATCGTATTTGTTACGACACGCAGGTTCACGATTACTGCGATTTGCGATTTAGTGGTTACATAGACACGACCAAAAATGAAATATACACGGTGTCAGCGATACGTAACAGAAACTATAAAATAAATTTAAAGCCGTCGCCGTATGCTATATAAGTATATTGAACGTATTGAACTTATAAGTTCAAAGAAACTTTTATTTTTGATCCAACAGCACGTGTGCTATTACTGATGTGTTAGAGAGCTCAATCCGAGAAACAATAAAAACAACAGCAAGTGAATCACAGCAATATCATCCAAACTGATAATTAGGGACGGGAATATGTTAACAGAACAACTGTATATAGTTTCTTTAGTTTGCTAATCTTTTATCTTGGAGTAAGGTTCCATATAAACTGTTTCTTTTTTTCAAAAAACGTTTATTGTTTTATTAATGAAAGAAAGCAACCCAAACTAAACCTGCCTAAACATTGCACATTTTCTTCTCTTTTCGAATTTAACTTAGCCTGTGCAATGATGTAGGTGTCCCAGATATCCAAGATTTCAAGGCAACTGTCAGAAAAAGTTCCTTATATAGACGTTAATATGTTGGATTACATAATGAGAATAGTTAATTGTTGTTAAATCGTTATTTACAAATTTTACACATTTTCACTTCCTGCGGATGTAATTGCGTTTTTTATCTTGTAATCTTAAGTTTTATCTTGGGCAGGACTGGATTTATAAATTTTTAATCTGAAACTACGAAACCAACATATCCGAAGAAAGAAAACTAATAAAAAAATTAAAGTAAATTGGCACCCTTGCAATTCGGTGCTCTGTTATTTCAAACATTTGTAATTGTGTTTATCAGTAGCTTGACTTGAGTTTGAGCATATCCCCAAGAAAATCAATAAGCAATTATAATTTTCTCGTCTCAATAATTAATATTTAACTGATTTATTACCGCACAATTTTTATTATGCATTTAGTGGTATAGATATTATTCTGTTATTTTTTTATTAACCTTCACAGGTTAATCAGTCTAGAAAGTAAATTAAAGAATTCTTTTAATAATTAAGTATACATTGTTCAATCAAACTATATACCTTGAGCGAAAAAATTTGTCGGTAATAGCATTTTATAGCTGAAGGATCCGTGAAAGCTTTGCCGAAAGAAAATAACCTATAAAAGCTTTTATAGTTATTGAAACGCACTCTGATTGTGGTGAGAAAAATGTAACACTTTCTGGAAAACTTGTCTATATCATAGCATATGTAAATCAGCTGTAAAATTTTTAAATATATCTCTGTTTATTCGCGTTCTTCTATGCGCATCTTACAATTCCCGCTCATCTGAATTTGCTGGTTTACATATTATGTCCTGTCTACATATACTTATATTTCGCATAAAATATCGTGGTAAGATACTTTGTTGTACTATTTATTGAATAACTATATTCTATGTACTATTATACTACTTTTTTTGTTCAACATACAATTTGCTTTCACTTTTAGAATATGTAGAACCGCTCCTTCAGATCTAGACACTGGTCTAGGTTTTTCGGTTCATTTTAGGTCGCGGGATGTAACTCTTTAACACCCTGTGACTGCTAGAGCAATCCTATATCAGAAAATCGTAAGAGATAACCTTAATTAATGCTAGTATAAAAGGTTTCAGCATGATATTAAATTATGTTTTATGTAATAAATGTCCTTGGCGATACAGCTAAAAATATGTAAGTAGTTAATTTTTTTCAGTCCCACATTATAGATAATAGTCAATAAAAAATTCCCAGCCTTTTATAACTGAATATATTTAAAATGCCGGATGAAAAAATTGTGCAAAAAAATTAACTGTCTTTACTCTCTAAAATATCTAACACTCAAGGGTTTATCAAGATTGTTCTGTTGATTTTTGAATTTGCCTGCAGGTATTCAAGCTACTAGAATGTAATATCGTAAACCGATCCTCGACTTCTTTCAGTTGAGTTGACCACTAGTTTTGTGAAAGGGAAATTGTCGGTGTCAAGGTGATTGATTTTATAACAGTTTTTAGACACCTCTTTGTTCAACGCTTGTTTCTAGTCATGGATTATATTAATAAGCGCAACATGAACATTAACCAGCACTATTCTTGTAGCTTTTATACCGTCGTAAAATGATTTAAGAATTGTCTAATAGCCATATGATAATCATGCAGAGATATAAAAATTTAACGGATGCATCATCATCCTGATGGATCCGCCAAGAGATCGATGCAAAGCTAAATCCACTGGCGTGTGATGAAAAATATCATCTACGATGATTATGGGAAAATGCGCAAGAATAAAAATTGATAGGAAAATTTCAGGAATATATAAAGTATGGTGTTTATCTTCGACAGTTTTTCTCATTTCTGATCAACATGTTTTATATCACTTCTAAAGAATTTGGAAAAGTTTATGTAAAATTTGAAAAGATGTAAACTGATATAATTTTGAAGTGAAACATTTTGAACCATAACATCNAATATGGTAACAATGACGAAATGATAATTAAAAAAATTAGTTATGATAATGAATCTTGAAATGGTAGGTACATGAAAAACAAATAACATTACTGCAAAATAATATAAAGAAGTTACAATTTCTTCTACGCATAGTCAATATTACATCTAACCTTTTTATAATAAATTTTACAGTAGAAATAAATAAGATACAAAAGGATATCTTGAAAAAATAAATATTTGTAGGTATACTTAAACTCTTTTATTTAAGCATTCCTATACACGTACACAAATATAAACATTTGTACAAAATATAAAATAAATGACATATATTTCACTTGATTCTTCCGTATTTCAAATAGTTCTCCGAAACGTATAGTTCCATGTTCCATTTTTTTTAGTTTTTGTCCTCTTGTCTTTAATAGGTATTAGGTAGTGGGTATAATAACTATGTTTAGGTAGATGTGACGCAAAATTCGAAGTCTCTACACATATCGTTTTAAACATTTTGCATCAATATTCATTATTTTATATGCACCTTA